ATTGCAAGACCAAATGGAAGCTGAAAAACAGAAAGTTTTCAAACATGTTAATATTAACATTCAAAGTTTAACAACTATTTCGGAAACTGGAAAAAGCAAAATTCTTCAGCGGTTACAAGCTACCACTCAATCGAAACGTCAAGAAATATTGGAGCAAATTATTATTATTTCCAGGGACACAACGTCTCATCCTCTAGGTTATGAACAATTAAGAAAACTTAATTTTGAAATGTATTCTGCTGTGGGCTTTAGAGGAGATAAGGAAGGTTGTTCTAACATACCTGACAGAGGCAAATTTATAAAAGACATTAAGGATGCGAAACCGAAGCAACCTTTTAAAAGAACTGTCTATATTGGAACTAATGGTGATAGAATATTAGAAAGTCGTCAGGAAACTGATAACTAACTACAATTTATAATTCGTGCGGCAAACTTTAATAACGCTTTGTTGAATACTGTTCAAAGTGCTTTTATTTTATTTTAATCTTTTAGCCCAGAAAAAAAAACAGAATATGTTCCAAGTAGAGAAGGGTGTGGATGTGGGTGTGAGTGTGGGTGAGTGTGGGGTGGGTGAATGTGGATGTGATGAGGGTAACTATGTCCTTCCAGTCCACACCCACACCCTATTCTGTAGAATTCAAGACAGTATGAAGAAAACTGTCCTGTGATGTTCTGTCGTTTCTAAACAAAAGAGTCGATTGTTTATATTTTGTCTAAAAATAACAATGAGAATATTTGTTTTTAGATAAAAAGGTTTATTTAATTAATCGTTGAATCTTTTAGTATATTGATTAATATTCATTGGATATTCTATTTATCAACTGAATTAACAATTTCGAAAGCGTTTATTTTCTAGTGAGTGAATCATTTGTTATGTTATCTGTTCATTAGAATAATGAATAGAAGTGTTTATATTCTTGTTAAATACATTCATTTGAAATTCTATTTCTGATTGTAGTAATTTTTAAGCGATATGATTTATCAAAATACAATTAAATAAATTTTGTTCAATTGATAGTAAATATTTTCAACAAATAATCTAATCAATTTATGAAAATAATTTCTGATTTTTGACTGACTGACGAATACATGAAGAACAAACGGAACTTTTATCAATATTTACTTCTTCAATCGACACCCAGTTTCGAAGAACAAAAAGTTAACTATTGATAAATCCCTATCGATTCATCATATAAGGAAAGTTAATAACTATTTCGAGACTTTTTTGTGGAACTCAGGTACATTTTTCGAAGAAAATAGTGAGTGTAAGTCACAGTTTTGCGGCTCTCCCCTCCCCATTACAGATTTTCTAGAGTTTTTGCAAAATATATAAAGTTACAATTTTGAAAAATAATGAATATCATTACTTTTGAATTGATTAATATATATAATAGTGTGTAAGATCTACTGTAGATATCATAGATATGGAAAATAGACTTATTTGTCAATTAATTCAATGTTTATAATAATAAGAATGTTACATTAAGAAAAACGAATTAAAACAATGAAAAATAATAAGTGAATAGCAATAATGCAAACAAAATAGGGCGCCTGTAGAAAAAAAAAATAAAAAAGATCCTGTTCGAAATGCAAAAATTAGAGAGATCCTTACTCTGTTCATCGATTAACCTGCAAAACAACAATAGTCTACGAGAGATTTTTCACTTTACGTAATTTGTATTAGTTTAATGAGGCTAGTGAGCATATGTGAATTCCACATTTCAAACCCAAATGGGCTGCACTGGTAAGCTTTTTTAGTAATATCTGCTCTTGTTTAGTGTGAGAAAAGAGTTGACATAATGATTGTGTTGGATGTGAATAACTTCAGCTAAAGTTGAAGATGGATGAATTTCATTTTTCTTTGTCCTATGATTTAGGAAATTACAATTTCTACAAATAATGTCAGCTTTCCAATAAAACAAATAGACTCAAGTGAAACCATATTCATTTGCGTTGTTTACAAAAACAAATAATCATTAGTTCATGTTTGATATTTGGGGGGGATTCGAAAAAAGAATTTGTTAAAAAACGCGGAAATAAGTTTGAAATGTTGCTCCTTTTTGGGCTATACAAGAAGAAACGAAATACAAATAATTAAACTTCGATCTGTAATGTTCATGTCGAAAACTGTTGTGAGAAAAAAAAGATATTAAATATCATAAACTTTCAAATGAATCGTTTCCTCTTTAGAACTGTTTTATTAAAAAATCATGTCGATTTACTTCAATCGATGACCATTTATCAGATTATATCTCTCTAGAATTTCCTTTTTTAATCTTCTCATGTTTCAGAAAAACAATCCATATTGTAATTTAGATCTGTAATTTTGCCATTAAGATTCTTCTATGATTTCTATCATACTCCGAAAATTTCAGCTTGAATGAATGTTTTCTTTTTAGGAGATAAGTTTCTCAAATAACGCACAAATTTTGGCGAAAATTCACGAAAATCCTGTTCTCTTGTACATTTATTATCTCAGAAAGAGAATGCTTCCCCCTAGCTGGAAATTTCGATGTATGAAACAATTTAGACGAGTTTATTACGAACGAAATTTTAGATCTAATTGATGTCATGCGCTTTTTCTTAACGTTCGTGTTACTTAAATTAAAAATTCAGCAAAACGATCATAACTGTGGAAAAATATAACAAATGAATGAATCTTTATAGGGTTTGTCTACTCGCAGTATACTTTAGTTAATGATATAAGTATCATCTCATAAGCTTTTTCTCATTTAACAAAATTCACTCGTTAGAAATACTCTTGGGTGTGGGTGTGGGTGTAGGGTGTGGGTGGGGTGTTGGTATCGGTGTGGGTGTGGGTATGAGTATGGGTGTGGGTATTGGTGTGGGTTTGAGTTTGGATGTGTGGATGTGAGTGCGAAGGTAATTTATTCTCTACACTCGAACCCGCACACCCAGTCCCACACCCACATCTCACACCCACACTCACACCCACACCCACCCACACACCCACACCCACCCCCACCCACCCACACCCCACACCCCACACCCACCTACACCCACACCGTTATGACATCACTCATCGAATACTAGACATGGTCTAACTTTGCATCTCACCCAATGCTTATTTTTCTACCAGCATCCGAACTGACCCGGTAGCTTTGCACTCACACTCATGTTCCCGGTCCGATGGGATGTTGGATGTCCGATTCGATTGCAGAACACTATTATTGACAAGGCAATTTCACAGCATCCAAGAATCAACCTTTCTGATTAATTGCACTAACATCCACATATTCATCTATACTATATCCACCCTCTCTAGTTACCTTTATTGACACTTAACAAATACCTCCATTAGGGCTTTATTCCGAACTAATGTGCTTTAGTTTCAAGCGGCATATTTCAAGATGACAAGAAAAGCACGAGAAGACGGTCTATATGATGATAAGATAAGAGAATAAGAAAGTGCATGATGCATTCATTCATTTTTGAAAGCTTAATGAAAAGCGAAACTCCTATAAGGGACTCAACAGGTAGATACAGAGATTTTTGAAAATTCGAGATAACTGTTGAGTGGTTTGTCGTTCGTTGAAGTATTTTGATATACATTTAGAATGTCGCAGAAAAAAAGCTGTGCACTCGTAGAAATGGCTACTTCGTTTGAAACTCTGTCAAATGATATTGTCTATTGCATTTTTGATTATTTGGATCATGTTCATATCGCATATGCTTATTGTCATTTGAATGATCGATACAATCAACTGGTTTCACATTATGTGAAATTCATAAACTTGGTCAATCGTTCATTCTCACACTGTTTGCTTAAAGAATGCTGCAATATATTTCCATTTATAGGTACCAATGTCACAGTTTTTAAAGTTGGTAATTCAAATCGTCGCAGTGAAACGGAACTATTTGGCAGTGGAATGAATGTTTCAGTTGTATTGCCGAATTTAAGTGTTCTTTGGATCGAAAATGCTTCACATATGAGCCATCTTATTCCCTATTTGAATGACTTATCATCTTTTTCAAGACTAGGGAAACTGAAACTTAATATTGTTGAGGACAATGGAATATACATGGATCGTGAAAAAAAGGAGTTAGAAATTATTTCTAGGCAGTGTATTAAATACGTTTCAGACAAGTTATTTTATACTCAACATCCTTCGTTAAGACATGTTATATGTAATTCTGAACATTCAATTCATTTTAGTAAACCTATCTGTGCTACAAATCTTAAACTCCTACAAATATCAGTATTAACAAAAACAAGTGATTTGCTGAATCTTTTAGCAAACGTTCCGAATCTTGAACGATTGCAAGTGAGACTATCGAGCACTGAAATAGAACCTAGTTTTAATAGGATTCCATCGATACTAAAACTGAAAGTGTTTATATTTGAATATTTTGAACAAGCAAATGCATACAATTTCAAAGTATTAGAAGCGATCATCAAAAGGTGTCCACTTCTTTTTGTATTATCACTCGAAGTGGAGTCTGTTCATTGTTCAAATCGAATAGATGGTCACTATTTTGAACATGAGTTGTTGTCACACTGCGAATATTTGAAAAAGCTTTACTTTTGCCTTAAAATACACGATGTCTCTTTTTATTCTTCTCATCAGAGGAACTCTATCATGCAAAGTTTTTGCACGGAGTATTGGCGTCAACGAAACTGGTCTGCAAATTTTTACATTGATGAATTTACAATTATTCTGCATTCAATACCATTTCCATACGGAAAGCTACAAGACTTATCGATCGATGCTCTTCAGTATAATTTTAGTAATGCTGTCAATTGGTCGGCAGTTCACTGTTTAACATATAAGACGGCTGCAGTAATATCGCCACCATTGTTACAAGCAATCACAGAGACATTCAAGAATTTAACTATACTTGTATTTGATTCACAAGTTGATTTATCATATAGTAATGTTATTCTCCATAATGTTAAATCGCTTCAATTGAACTCTCCAATGAAAAAGAAATTTCTTAAATCGATTTTTTCAATAACACCAAACGTCAAAACCTTAAAAATGGATGGCAATCAACTTTTAGCTTACACTCCACGTCTTCCATTGACAAGTCTTCATGTCATGGGTGCTAGTATGAGTCAATTTCACGGCTATATCGTCAATTATCCTGCCTTAGAGGTATTGCAAATAACTTGTAACTCGAATACAAATGCATCATGTCAAATTAGTGTGATCAAATTATTTGACTATATGAAGTATCTGTGTTCTCTATCAATAACTGTACGACCAGATCGTAATCCATATGCAACAGGGCACTCATCTAGCTCTGTTTTAAAAGATATTGCTGAAAGCGTTGGAACGAGTAAAAACATGCATTATCGAAAGCAAACTGGTTATATCCAAATATGGAGGTGAATAAGAATGCAATGAAATGAGTTCTTTAGAAAGTGGACTTGGGTGAGTGAATACGTATGAATGCATATGTGGCTGGATGAAAATGTGAGTATTGGGTGTAGATGTGGATTTGTATGTCATTCTATTCGTCTCGTCCGCGCCCTCACTCGCAGTAAAAGTTGGTCCGATAATGTATTTGTTCGTT